GCTGGGAGAGTAAACCGCCTTCATACGGATAGAAAATGAATTCAGTAAATATACGAAAAAAAATAGAAAGCGTGAAAGAGAAGGATGTGTCTCTCATTCAGCTTTTACAGTGAAGTGATTCTAAGAGAATTATAATTCCTAGCAGGTTTGGCAGATACAACATTAAACATGCAGATGATACAGTGTTGATAGCAGACACAAAAAAGAATAGACAGGAAATGCTACAGAAGGTAATGAAGACAAACAGGAAGAAAGGACTAAACATCAATTGCAAGACAGAATGCTTTATTATCAATGGAAAGAAGAGCCCAAAATCCGAATTACAAATTGGAGAATCCAAAATCAAGCAAGTAGAAAAATTTGAATATCTAGGAAGATTTTTTTTTTAAACGGGGGACGGAAAATCAGTTATTAAAATCCGAAGGGTCATTAGGATAGCAAAAGTTAAACAAAATATTAGGTGTTGTAGAATAGGTAGCACTTCTTCAACACTCTACCAGATAGCTTGGCTCATAGCCTTAAATAGTCTACGATTAAGGACTTCAACAGTTGATTAATAAGTTGATACTAAGCTGATTAATATTCGGGCTGATCTGACTTTGTTTGGTTATACAACCCCCCATCTATTCCTTGTAAGTTGTCTTGTTTATTGTTTTCTAACTTATTGTTCGGTGTTTTCTGTGTGTATCCGTTAGCACCAGATACTGGTGCTGAATAAATACATTAAGCACTCATTCTTCTCTGGGTATCATTCACTTCCACAATACAACAATTTTATACAAAATTATGCTGGCAATATATTTTCATATAAAGCTAAAATATCATTAGATTTTATACAAAACTAAGCTGTCAATTTATTTTCATATAAGGCTAAGATATCATTTATACAATACTAAGCTGGCAAGGCATTTTCATATAAAGCTATCATTAGATTTTATACAAAATTATGCTGGCAATATATTTTCATATAAAGCTAAAATATCATTAGATTTTATACCAAACAAAGATGTCAATTTATTTTCATATAAGGCTAAGATATCATTTATACAATACTAAGCTGGCAAGGCATTTTCATATAAAGCTATCATTAGATTTTATACAAAATTATGCTGGCAATATATTTTCATATAAAGCTAAAATATCATTAGATTTTATACCAAACAAAGATGTCAATTTATTTTCATATAAGGCTAAGATATCATTTATACAATACTAAGCTGGCAAGGCATTTTCATATAAAGCTATCATTAGATTTTATACAAAATTATGCTGGCAATATATTTTCATATAAAGCTAAGATATCATTAGATTTTATACCAAACAAAGATGTCAGTTTATTTTCATATAAGGCTAAGATATCATTTATACAATACTAAGCTGGCAAGACATTTTCATATAAAGCTATCATTAGATTTTATACAAAATTATGCTGGCAATATATTTTCATATGAAGCTAAGATATCATTAGATTTTATACCAAACAAAGATGTCAATTTATTTTCATATAAGGCTAAAATATCATTTATACAATACTAAGCTGGCAATACATTTTCATATAAAGCTATCATTAGATTTTATACAAAATTATGCTGGCAATATATTTTCATATAAAGCTAAAATATTAGATTTTATACAAAACTAAGCTGTCAATTTATTTTCATATAAGGCTAAAATATCATTTATACAATACTAAGCTGACAAGACATTTTCATATAAAGCTATCATTAGATTTTATACAAAATTATGCTGGCAATATATTTTCATATAAAACTAAGCTATCATTAGATGTTTGTTGTAGAGTAGCTAGTACCCCTTCAGCACTCTACCAGATGGACTGTCTCATAGTCTTAAATAATCTAAGATTAAGGACTTCAACAGTTGATTAATAAGTTGATTAGTAAGTTAATACTAAGCTAATTAATATTCGGACTGATCTTACTTCGTTTAGCTATACAGCATATGACACTCCTCTGTTCCTTGTAAGTTGTCTTGTTAATTGTTTTGTAAATATACAAAAAATGGAAAAGGATGGAGAACAAGGATGTGTCTTCTCCCCGGATTTATACAAGCTTTACAGCTGATACTGAGAGAATTAATTAAATAGATGGCAGAACAACGTTTAGGAGAGATAACAAAAGAAACAATTTATATTGATTTGATTTGTTTGTTTGTTTAATGGCACATCAACTCGTTCATGGGTCATTTAATGCCAAAATTTAATTTTCTCGTGAGCTGTGAAGTAATAAAAAATATATGTCATTCTGCTTATGTAGTTTTATTTATAAGTTATATTTTGGAATACAGTTTGATTTAAGAAATTATAGAATATTATATGGATTAATGTCATGAAAGTGTTCTTTCATGTTGGTAACACTACTATAAATAAGTATTGTTGGTAATTTTTTTATATAAAAGGGTATTGATGGTATCTTACTAAAAAAATGTGTTTTTGTACTTTCATAATGTTTTGTTTGGTGGGGTCACTATTGACCAATAGCTGGGACCCTAACCGGTGCTGCCACCCAGGTCAGAGTGGAATAGGAACAACAGCATTTAAGAAGTGGTTTCACTTCCCTCAAAAACTCCAATTTCCCGATCAGAGGCCTTGTTGCCGGATGTAGTTTATTTTAGCAGTGATTTACCTCAGCGTGTATGTTTTGCAAGGGAGTGTGGGGACGGCGAATCGACGAGTTTCGGACGGACGGTAAATCGTGCAGATGGAGGTGGTGGTGTCGCTTGTAGGCATTTTTATTGGCTGCTTCTGGGCGCTCATTGGCTGAGTATTGGCTGGGTCAGGTGTATAAAAACATGGTATGCTCATTCAGCTTTTCGGGCGGGGCGGTGAGTGGCGTATTGGAGATTGAGGCAAGAATTGTGGATTTGTTTTGCCTAGTGAACCTATAAAAATCGTACTACCTTTCTTTTCATGTGTGTTTTTCCAACCAATTTTTGCATCAGGAGCTGAAATAGCAGATTTTCTTCTTGTATGAACCATGTTCCTTTCTTCACATTTTCCCTTATGACTTTCTGTAGGAGTTCCTGTATTTTTCCTTTCTGTGTTTGGGAAAGGTATAGATTTATGTCTTCTCATCATTGCTACTCCATAAAAAATGTTAATATAATATTCATTGGCAAAAAATAATATTCTTCCAATGTAAAATATGTTAAATAACATACAAAGGGTTGATAAGACATAAAAACCAAATCAATCATTCAAATTCTGCAAAGGTAATAAGGAATGATTTCAAATGACTTACCTCGGCGACCCAAAAGGGCCAGAGTTGCATGTATGTCTTGCAAGTGAGTGTGGAGACGGCAAATCGACGAGCTTCGAACGGACAGTGAATCGGACAGCACTTCGTGCTGATGGAGATGGTGGTGTTGCTTGTAGCTATTTTTATTGACTGGATCTGGGCGCTGATTGGCTGAATGCTGGCTCGGTCAGGTACATAAAAACATGGTACGCTCATTTAACAGGGTTTTTTGTGTGCCGGACGTAGAGTGGTGTATTGTTGTATGAAGCAAGAAGTGTGAATTTGTTTTGCCTAGTGAACCTATAAGACTCATACTACCTTTCTTTTCTTGTGTGTGCTTCCAACCAATTTTTGCAACATTTATATAGCTGGGACCCTAACCGGTGCTGCCACCCCAGGTCAGGGTGGACTAGGAACAACAGCATTTAAGTAGTGGTTTCACGTCCCTCAAAAACTCCAATCTCCCGATTGCTGCCGGATGTAGTTTATTTTAGCAGTGATTTACCTCGGCGACTCAGAGTCGCGTGTATGTTTTGCAAGGGTGTGTGGAGACGGCGAATCGACGAGCTTCAGACGGACGGTAAATCGTGCTGATAGAGGTGGTGGTGTCGCTTGTATGCAATTTTATTGGCTGCTTCTGAGCGCTCATTGGCTGAGTATTGGCTGGGTCAGGTGTATAAAAACATGGCACGCTCATTCAGCTTTTCGGGCGGGACGGTGAGTGGTGTATTGTTGTATGAGGCAAGAAGTGTGCATTTGTTTTGCCTAGTGAACCTATAAGAATCGTATTACCTTTATTTTTCTTGTGTATGCTTCCAACCAATTTTTGCAACATTTATGTAGTTTATTTACTTGGTTCCACAGGGCAGTAGATCGCGGGAAGAAGCTGTTCGAGTGAAATACGGAGGGAACGTGGGTGGTTTACTACTATGTAAGTGACATGGCGTGTCCCCCTGTGAAGGTTTGCCTCGATGGGACCAAGAAATGTTGTACGTCTGAACACTTCCCGTGGAAGTAGCCGTAGAGAAGCGAGAGACTTGCCACATTCCGCCTGGGGAAAGAGGTTGGAGGGTGGAGAATAATTCGTTACCTAGAAATTAAATTTAGTAAGGCCCAAGTGCCACTCATGGTAGAAAGCTAATGAGTGAGATTGTTGTAAATAAGGGGGAAATAAGAAATTCATATTACGAGGACGTGTCAGGTAGATATTGGTTGGATTTAAGATTTAAGAGATAAAAATTATAGTTGTCAGGGAAACAGCATCTTGGGAGTTTGTTTCACAAAGCAACAGTTCTGGGGAAGAACCAATCTCAGTCGAACTTGCTCCTTATCAAAGGAACATGACATGAATTGGGATATTTTGCCACCGTGAACACGTCATGGCGGGTCGTAGATGTGAAGGTCTGAGCTGGTTGAACTAAGGAATGGAACTCGTCCGAACATAAATTTAAGCCATTTTTAATCAATGATCTGACTAAACGGTTGTGTGCAGATTATGGTCGAAATGAAAGTCTAGATCTGACAAATCTATTTAGGTACAGAACTCGAGTTTTCATATGAATATTTTTCCTGGATATGACGATAAATTACATCCGGTAACAAACCCTATGATAGGGAAGTTTTGAGGAACGTGAAATCACCACTTAATCACTGTTGTTCCCAGGTCCACCCTGATTCGGAGGGGTAGCACCTGTTAGGATACCTGCTATGGGCAAATATTTAATCCACAAACTGGGATCCAAAGACTATGAAAGTATAAAAATAGATAAATAAAGAGTGAAGGAGACAAATAAAGAATGACCATAGATAGATAGATAGATAGATAGATAGATAGATAGATAACGAATGAACAGAGAGAGAGAGAGAGAGAGAGAGATAAAGAATGAACAAAGATAAGAATGGCCATAGATAGATAGATAGATAGATAGATAGAGAGAGAGATAACGAATGAACAGAAAGAAAGAGAGATAGATAAAGAATGATCATAGATAAGAATGACCATAGATAGATAGATAGATAGATAACGAATGATCAGAGAGAGAGAGAGAGAGATAAAGAATGAACAAAGATAAGAATGAACATAGATAGATAGATAGATAGGTAGATAGATAGATAGAGAGAGAGAGAGATGACGAATGAACAGAAAGAGAGAGAGATAAAGAATGAACATAGATAAGAATGAACATAGATAGATAGATAACGAATGATCAGAGAGAGAGAGAGAGAGATAAAGAATGAACAAAGATGAGAATGAACATAGATAGATAGATAGATAACGAATGGACAGAGAGAGAGAGAGATAAGAATGAAGATAGATAAGAATGAAGATAGATAGATAGATAGATAGATAGATAGATAGATAAGGTATAGACTAAGATAGATAGATAGATAAAAAAGAAAGAATATAGATAAATGGATAGAAAAGAATGAAGATAGATAGATAGATAGATATGAACAAATATATATTTGTGTGTGTTTTTGTGTGTGTGTGTGTGTGTAGAGAGAGAGAGAGAGAGAGAAAGAGATGTTCTTTATAGATCCTTGCTATTTTGATTGCATTCCAAACTGTTCCTTCGTTAATGTTTCTTCATCAGCCATTCAATTTATCTTTTTCTATTTTTCTTTCATCGATCCCTGTTACCTTCCGCACAATTCGAAAAATTTGGCGCAAAACAGTAAACTGTCCAATTCAGAAATGTAGAACTGCAATGATTATTTTGTCGGCTTTCGGGCGGCACCGACTCCAAAAATATCTTCCTCGCCAAATTTGCCTGGTCAGTGGCAATCCAAAAAAGACTTTCCCGGAATCCTCTTCATTAATGAGTCTCACGATATTTCGACCAAAGTCATTTCCTGCCAAAGAAATTTCTGAATTTCCCTTGAATAGGACTGAATTTGCTGTTCGTTAACAAGAATATTATTGCCAGTTTCGTTTTTACATTGCGATCACTTTTGTCGTTTGGTCTGGCGCCAGTTTACACTGACGTGGGTGTTTCCAGATATTTCTTCACATCTTTAATTTTAACAGCGTAGATGTAATGGTAACGAAAAACTGATATCGTGGTATCCGGGCTTTGGGGCACACTCAACTTTTCAGATGAGATATAAGTTTACTTCCTGCAAAATAATTAACTCATAATCTTTCATTAAAAAGTCGTGAGTCATTGTAAAATTTCAAAAGATGGTCGATGTATTTGTGACGGTTACACACCTGGCCCAGTGTCGGATCCTTTGGTTACGGCGCCAACGGTGACGTCGCTCCTCCTGGTCGCTCCTCCTGGGTCCAAGCGTGCCGCTCCAACCCTTTGGTCAGATGATCACCAGCCTCGCCTTTCCCGACTCGCTTCCAATACCTGGTCACTAAAGCAACTATACCGATCTCCGGTCTGTCTACCCACGCTGTGTTTAGATCTTAGACAGACGGGACCAGCAGGGATTTGGGCCGATACAAGTCGAGTCCGACGGGGGTGGCAAAACACAAATAAAACAAAAACTCACGACACCAAACAAAATTGCTGATAAAAAGGGTAACAACCTTTTATATCTTAAAGTCCGTTACATAAAAACAAAATTGTTCTCAATTCCCGACCCGCTCTGTGGACTATGGCACCAAGCTTCTATCACACAATAGGAAAATGTCGAATTACCTACTTTCTAGAATCATGTATGTATGTCGGAGTGTGGTTCAGTTCGACACTGGGGCTAATTTCTATCGATCATTCGCAGTTGATTCTTCTCTCCGACTTGAGTTGTATTTCTTCTTCTTCTTCTGTTTAGACTGGTAGATTTCTTGTTTCAACCCAGTGGAAGATTTCTTGCTTCGATTCAGTGGAAGATTTCTTGCTTCGATTCAGTGGAAGATTTCTTGCTTCGATTCAGTGGAAGATTTCTTGCTTCAATTCGGTGGAAGATTTCTTGTCTTCAACTTGGGCTGGAAGGATTTCTTGTTTCGAGGATTCTTCTGTCGTCCGAGGGTGAACTGCAACTCACGCCCAACCTAACTCCAACTTCAACTCAACTTCAGCTCCAACTGATTTCTGCCGACTGGGGTCCTGCTTTATATTGACGCCGCAACAAACCGGGGTGGGTCGGTCGGCGTCAGGGGTTCTCGATAATTTCAAAAGCCGTATTAACTTTGACTTTCCATTATCGTTATTGTTTTCACCCCTACTTTCTCACAGTGCTCTTGGGGGGGCGGCGCATATCTATTTCTCTTAGTCTCTCTCATGTCAGGTGATCGCTCTCAACCAATCGTTCCCGATCGAACCTTTCTTTCTCTTCTTTTCCGCAGCCCACGTGACCGCCTCGTCCAACAGTTATTGATCGAGGTTTTCTTTCCTTCTTCTTCCGCGGTCACGTGATTGTATTCGACCAATTGTTATTGACCGAACACCCTCTCCCTTTTGTTGGCGGGTGTGGTTACATCGTGCTGGTTTTAAAAAAAAACAAAATCCGATTTCGCACCTTTTTGCACGTACGCAAAATGACAATCCTTGCCCCCTCTCTCACCTGGACTTTGTCAAACAGCCCGCTGCTAATTAGTCTTGACTTTTAGAAAGGATCTTTTCCGCCTTCCTGGCGCCCTCCGTGGTCCAAAAACAATTGCTCTTCTTTTTACTCTTTGTTTTTCCTGATAGCCGAGAATCTTAATTATCTAGGTCGAAATATCTCTACTTTCTTAACGTGGGTGTCCAATTCTTAACAGGTCAATTCCGTATATCGTTTTCACCAGTCACTTCCCCAACCCAAAGACACTTTCTCTCTGACTAAAGTAAAATTCATTTCTATTATTCTAATTTAAAAGTTACCTTTCGTTATTTTGATAAGAATTCTTCTACGAAAATGTCGGTCAGCGCTCGCGACCGATATCTCCAATTCTATTCTTTCAACAAAAATTAAGGTCAGTCAGAGGCTCTGACCGACATCTGGTCCACACCCAGCGGCCTGTTTTGATATCATGTCTTTTCCTTTCTTTCCCCTTTTGTTATTATCTTTCCTTTCTTCCTTTTTCCTTTCTTTTCTTTTTCCTTGCTTTAGGATCGTTTAGTACATTCTTAGTGAATTATTTTCAACCCAGTTATTTTCCGTTTTAAAGAAAAAAAATTAACAACCTGTTTAATAAACTGAATAAGGAAAAATTAACTCATATTTCTATGAATATTTCCAATAAATGCAAGGTGCCATAATTGATTTTTTTAATTGCTACCCGCGCATGCAAAACATTAAAGCCACTAAGACGCAAGGGGTTAGAGGGTGTGGGAGAATTAGGAACAGAAAACATTAATAATGAGCGGGAAGAGAAAAGAGTAATCAGGAAAACAGTAGATAGCGATTGACATTGCATTTACATTTTCGCAGATTAAAGTTGGCTGGCAAGCATGGAGCCGGAAGGGAGTTTCACAAGTGTGAAGTGCGAGAAAAGAAACTGTTAGAATAGAACTTACGGCTACATCTAGCCAGCTCAACTGTAAATTGATGAGATTTCGACGCCAGTCTAGTGCTGCGCTTATATTTTTTTAAAAGCCCCATAGAGAAGAGCTCATCGGAACAATTACAATGAAAGTATTTCTAGAAAAGATACAGAGAGGCAGCCTTATTAAGGTGTTAAAGTAACTGAAACCGAGCCGCCAGATCAGGACCAATAATATTGCTGATTCTTCTTTGGATCTTATCAAGGCGCTCAGCGTAAATAGCAGGGGCACTAGACCCTATGTGGCAGCAATATTCTAAGCATGAACGAATGATTTAGTTATTTTGTACCAAGATTCACTTAATCCAATCAAGTTAATTCACGAATGTCCACTGCCCCAATTTGGAGATGGTCGCCGTTAATGGCTTAGAGGCAGAAACATATTATTAATGACAAATGTTTTAGAAACCTAAAATTAATTATATAATTAATATTAAATAATTATTATTAATATTTTCATGGTAATTGTACTGATGAACTTTCCTCTATGGTATTTAGACTTTATGAATTTAAGTGCAGTACTAGATTGGCGGAAAGGTCCCATCATTTTATAGTTGAAATGGTTAGATGTAACCGTAAGTTTTATCCTAACAGCTTCTTCTCTCGCACTTCTTGCTTGTATGACTCTCTTCTGACTTCTTACTTTCCGGTCAACTTTGATCTTCCAAAATTTGAATGCAACGTTAACTTCCGCCTTCTTAATTCCTGTTCTTTGTTCTCTCTCCTTAATCATGTTTTTTCTCATATTCTGACACACGCAGAGTTAGTGGCTTTATTTCCTTGCTTGGGGTGAAAATATTTTTTTTAAGTAATACAGGAATTTTTGTAAACGTATAATTAATACCGAATATTTTCTTAAAGGCCTATCCAGGATTTTATTTTAATTTTTGTGTTTAATACCGTGTTTGACGGTGAGTGTTAATAGATTTATCATGTGACCATATTCATTATAGTCCCCAATAAAAAAAAAGAAACACAATCGAATCTTCACTAGTTTACGATGTTTTTGTTCGTATAACGTTCCTTGTTCTGGTTAATAATACCGTAAGGAAACGCTGGAACAAAAGACTGAGTGAAGAACAGGTTTAATCACATGAGAGACATGGATTAATAATAGAGTAATAGAGAATACCGTATTTCAGTGCGGCAATGCGTACAACTCAAATGCCACGCCTTGCAACACACTTTGCGACGACCTTTCCAACGAGCAGACGTTCTACTCATAGCTGATGGACGAGTCCATGTTCAACAATTAATGTAGAGAAGTTCAGACGTCTTCCTATTCAACAGTTTGTTTTTGAAGAACGAAAGAGAACAAAAAAATGTGCAGAGGAAGATTGTCTTACGCCAATCTTCCGATTGAGAATTGTCGACCTGCGCAGAAAATCTGCATGCTTTTTGCTAGCTTTTCAGCTTTTCACCGACCTAGTTATTGATTAAAAAATATATATGCGATAATTTTTTCTTTAAAGTGCCATGTCTCTTCAAGATGCAGGCGAACACGGCTCTCCACAGGGTCCTTTTCCTTATCCTTGAATTGTCATGACTCCTTAGAAATAATAGTAGAATGGCTTCCTGTTGTATTCTCAACGGTTTTGAGTTCAAAGTTGATCTTGTTAGACTAGTTGCTATCCATAGCTAGAGAGTTCAGTCGACCTAGTTGGAGAATGAGAAATTATAGATATAATTGTTCTCCAAGGACATCAGTGCAAGAGTGAACGTAATATACGAGACTGTAATTACAATTCGGTTTGTTAATTCTAATTTCACGACCAACAACCGTTATGGAACCTACATTTCTTTTTTTTTTTTTTTTTTACAGATTTTTTTTGTTTTTACTTTTTTCTGCTGGTGGGGTTTCATTAACCCTGTCAGTGAAACATCGTTATTTATCCATCTATCTAATAGCTTTCCTTTCTGCTTCCTGTCGTTCTTTCTTTCCCACCCACCTCTTTCTGTTTCCACCTTTCCTTTCTTAACCATTGTTTTAATGTTTAGAAGCAAGAGGAAAGAATCAAACATGGTTGTTATCAAAAGTGCGAATTGTAAATCGGAGATACCAAAATCAAACAAATGCGGAAATTTAAATATCAGGGGAGTTTTTTTTTTTGTTTTTTTTTTAACAGAGGACGGAAAGCCAGAGTATGGATTTGGTATCATTATTGAAGGCCTGAATGATCTTTTTCCTCTCAACATTGCTCATTTGGGAAGAGAGTGGGTCTGACACAAAACAATTCTAACATGTTCTATTTTTAACTGAATAACTCATAGGGTTTTTATATGATTCTTCCTACAAATTGTATCAAGATGGCTAAACGTCCTATCAAAAAACCTGGAAAAACAAACTGAATTATTTTGGTGTTTTATTTGTTTTGTTTTTTTTGGGGGGGGTTCTAGATATTAAACATTTTGTGGCATGGACAATTATATGCAACAGGTTTTGTGGACATGCTCACAAAATACAACTATTAGCTCTTCAAAAAAGGTGAAAGATTTAAATACCCGAAACTTTTATTATACAAAAGAAATATAAAATATTTAATGTGTATAAAATAATATATATATATATATATATATATATATATTGGTGTGTTTGTGTGTGCGCGTGTGTGGATATACATGTTGTATTTATGGAGGCTCCGATAACATCAGTATAAACTGAATTCACCATGAATAGACACTCACAAATTTATATATGACGATACAAATTCTAAGTAATTTATCGAGTTTATATTTAATCTGTCAGAAGTTCAAAAGTTGCCAGAGGAGTGTGCCTTTTCCTCCTCACCATATTGGCGGCCAAATTCTTAACATCATATGCTATGCAGATGACATAGTGTTGACACTGAAAGAAAGCTACAAAAACTCCTACAGAAAATAGTGAAGGAAATTGAGAATAAAGGATTAAACATCGCCTGCAAGAAGACAAAATGCATGGTTGTTAGCAAAAGGATGAGACCAAAGTGCGAATTGCAAATCGGAGATACCAAAAACGAACAAATGCGGAAATTTAAATATCAAGGAAGTTTTTTTTAAACAGAGGACGGAAAGTGTGATACTGAAATCCGTAGGCATATTGAGATAGCCAAGGAAGCATCCCAAAGGCTAAGGAAAGTACTAAGAAATAGGAAAATTTCGCCAGAAACAAGAAAAAGACTACTAAACTGCTATGTGATATCTGTCCTCCTGTATGGCAGTAAGTGCTGAACGATCTCCTCAAAGATAAAGAAGAGACTTGAAGCAACAGAAATGTGGTTCTACAGAAGGATGATGAGAATACCGTAAACCGAACATGTGAGTAACGATGATGTTTTGGAGAAAATGGAAACAAAAACTAATCCTTAACATCAGGAAGAGACAGTTGAGGTTTCTGCAGCATATAATGAGGAAGAAAGGCTTGGGAAATCTCATACTCACAGATAAAGTGCAAGATGGAGAGAAGAAAACAATGCATAGGGTTGATGAGAGATAGCCAAATACATAACTTATGAAGAGGATAAGAAACTGTGGATCGCCAATGTCTTGAAGGGATACGGCATATAATAGAAGAATGGACTTAAAGAGTAAAAGGATGAAAGAACAGGGAGAGATAACCAAAAGACAAAATTTATTAAGAGCTACAAAGGACAGGAAATTGTGGAGAGCCATGGTCGCCAATGTCTCAAACGGAAACGGCACATAGAAGAAAAAGAATAAGTGAATTGCAAAACAGGAAACTTAGGAAAATAACAGGAAGACAAAATTTATTAAGAATCAGAAGGGACAGGGAGTTGTGGAGAGCCGTGATCACCTACGTCCTAAGAGGAGGCAGCACATGAAAAAGAAAGAAGACTAGTCACCTGTCAAGTAACATGTTTAATTTTTAGTCGTCAACCGAACTTCTGGGGCTTAAGGTGGTTAGTGGGTGAAGAAGCACTTCTGAGATTTATTACGTAACTTTACTGAATTACTTTTTCTTCTTCTTTGTACCGTGTCCCTTCAGTACGTGGGCAATCATGGATCTCCACAACCTCCTATAACTTGTAGTTCTTATCAAGGTCTTTCACTTTGTCATACCCCTTATACCCTATTCTGATTATAATTTTTGCTACGTGGATCATTACGTTGATTGTCCGAAGAATCTCGCATTCATTTGTAGCTGGCTTCTTAAACAGCGCTACGAAAATGGGTCTACTAAAGTCTTCCGGTATATCACCACTGTTGTATATTTCATTTATTATTTCTGTAATTTTGCCAATGCCGAAATCATCTTAGATTGCTAGCATCTTTATTACAATCCCATCTGGTCCTGCTACCCTGTTTCTATTCGGTTTGCCAGTTGTTGATGTCACTTCAGATTTTAATATTTCTGGTCCTTCCATATTTTTGTGTATTACAGATTTCCCTCTTTCGTCGTCGAAGTTTTATCCGTCGTATCCGTTTAAGCTTTTAAGTATTTTCTTTCTATTATCGGTGTTCCCTGTTTTGATTTTATCCATTCTGTTGATGAAACCCTTACCTCACAGTCGGTGGGGGGTGTAAAACGGTAGTGTCAGAGCTATGCCGTCCGGAACTTCGTTCCTGGTAGGGCCACCCAAGGCGGACAGGTCTGACACACACGCCGGCTAACAAGGGCTCTGGTGAAAAACCAAGGAGCGTCTGCATCGGCAACCGGCGGCTTCTGGTCGTTCCTGTCTCTGCGTCTGTGGGAACCCCGCGGCAAGCAAGAACGTTATCCGAGTAGGCCTGGGTACCCTACTTCTGTAATTTATCCCAAGAATCTTCTTCTCACAACAGGAAGAAGCCGGCTCATTCCGCCCAGGGTGAATGCCGCATCAAGTCAAGTCAAGTTGATGAAACCCGTCTTTTGACCTATTCTCCCTCTTATGCATTTACTGTCCTGGGCAAGACGATAAACTACGTCCAACAGCAAGGCCTCTGATCAGAAGGTTTTGAGGAAGTGGAACCACCTCTTAATTGCTGGTGTTCCCAGGTCCACTCTCACCCGGGGTAGTAGCACCTGCTAGGGTCCCAGCTATGGGCAAATAGTTAACACCCAAACTCGCAAGCGTTTGTTACAAGGATGTTCAGATGTCACAGTAGCTTAGCTCATTGTTTCAGGATATTCTATTATCTTATCCTGCCTTCCTATTGAAGTTTATGCTGGCCTAAAGAGTCATCTTAGGAACCATGGACACCGAAACGAGACGGAAGTCAACGGAAATTATGCGGAGGTTGGGGGGTCTATTCTCATCTGAGTAAGATGTTGCAATGTATATGTGCACGGCTTAAACTCCAATATTTACAGCTTTGAAACCACATATATTCTAATTCAGTATGTGTCCAGGGGATAAACAAATTATTTCTGTACTCTTCATATGAGCGAATATGTTTGTAAAAACACTCCTCTAGATGCTTTTGCTCATCCTGGGTATGACGATAAACTACATCCGCGTCCAGGGTAAGATGATAAACTACGCCCAACGGCAAGGCCTCTGATCAGGAGGATTTGAGGAACGTGGAACCACCTCTTAATCGCTAATGTTCCCAGGTCCACCCTGACCCGGGGTGGTAGCATCTGTTAGGGCTCCAGCTATGGGCAAATAGTTAACACCCAAACTTGGGTCAAAATACTATGAAAGTGTAAAAATAGGATTTAATGCCAGAAATACTTTGTAAAAAAAAAATTATTACCAGCAATACATTTTTGAAAAAAACATATTACCAACAATATATTTTTTTGAAAAGAAAAAAGCATACCAGCGAAGGAAAATTTTTACCAGAAACACATTTTTGAAGGAAAAAATATTAACAGAAATAGATTTTTGGAAAAAAAATATTACCAACAATGAAAATTTTGTCGTCATTGTGGTTGATATGCCGTAAACAAACCAAACCAAACTTATGCATTTGTGCATATCTGACTTATCTACGATGCTCATTTTTTTCTATCTCTTCACATTTTCCATCAAGCCATTCCTCATTTGCCTGCCTATATTTGCTTTTAATTACTTTCTATATTTTGTGCCATGCCTCGCCATTTTTGTTGTCTCGTTTACATTTCACGCCCCTTTCTATTTTTGTGTATTTAATAGAAAATAGTAAGATTTCTGGACAGTCTGCGGAATCACCATATAGTCTTCTAATTCTTACACTGCCAACTACCGATTTCCACTGATTTAAAACCTCACGGGTATTCTACGTGTTGAAGGCCTTCCAAAACGCGAATTGCTTTCAACGGAATACCAGCCAAGTTTTGAAGCGTTGACGCCAAAATCTTACTTTGGTTTTGCTAATTGAATCATCCCCCCAAATCCTCTTAAACATTCGAATAGCTTTCGCGTATAAATCTCCAAGTTTCAAGCAAAAGTTGCTGAATATTGAATGTAACGTTCGCGCAATATACAAACTCATTCAATGGCGCGTCACTGCCAAATGATAAACTCAACGGGAAAGTGTCTGTTTGCGCATGCACAGTGAAGTCTCATCTGATATTTTGCCGCCAAGTGATGTCAAGGCGCCTCGCAACGGTCACATTCAGGATATTCAAAAAGTCTAAATATTTTCCAGAAATACATCGTAAACACACACACACACACACACACACACACACATCACTTCATAAGACACCGGAGGTGTTGAAACCAAATGGTTATTTTTGTAGTGATTTTATAACATATTTATGTTATAATTTTTAAATAAATAATTATATATATATATATATATATATATAATTATATATATATATATATATATATATATATATATATATATATATATATATATATATATATATATACACTCTGACTGACACCAAATTGGTTGGGTTTCAAACCGATCTTGAGGCATTCGGTTGTCTAGTCACACTGAAGAGCTGTGATACAATGAAACAGTACTGTCTGAGAATGGCATATATATATATATATATATATATATATATATATATATATATAGAGAGAGAGAGAGAGAGAGAGGCTTAAAGTCACATCACGTCGGAACACCAGATCCCATACGATCACCGAAGTTAAGCAACGTCAATCCTGGTCAGAACATAGATGTCTTTCAGATGATTAAGAGAGATCAGTTATTCCTCCAGAACGTAAGCGGACATGACACTCTTCTGATTTTTTTTTCTTGTTTACGATTTGACATAAATTCTTGGGAAAGAGGGTGAAGTTGTTTCCCGTTGCTTTCGCTACGGTTTGGAATTCCGAGTAATCCTTCTCCAAGTTTCCTTTTCTTTATTACCTATGAATTGCCATGAGTTCTTAAGAAAGAGAAGTAGAGTTGTTTCCCTTTTCCTTCTCCCCGGTTTGGAATTCAGAGTCGTCCGCTTTAGACTGGTTTAAGCCTAGGTTATAAAACCAAGTTTACTCTACTATTTAACCCCTATGTAGGGCAGAAGAGGTGTTAAATAAAACGTGATTCCTTCTTTTGACGTGCACTGATACAGAATCAAGCAGTTATCCTTCAGGACATCGGTGATAATAGTTCTCTCTAACTTTCTGCTCAATGTAGCTTTAAGCATCATTTATCACCCCTCCTTGTCCCTACAATGCCATCCCTCCACAGAAACCTATTTGATAAGTTACTCTCTGTTTTCCACTATCTTCCCTTTCCGGTGAGTATTAAATTTTCCAAGCCGTCTTTTCTCATAAAATGGCCTAGAATTTTCAACTGCCTCTTTCTTATTTTAAGTATGAGCTTTTTTCTAGTTAGCATTTTCTATAGAACTTCCTCGTTGTTCATATGTTCTGTCCATGTCTACTGCTTGTAATTTTGTTCTCTGCCAGACAATTAACCTCGTCAAAA